GTTGATATTGTATATTTTAAGGAATTTATTTATTTATTTAGAGACAGAGTCTCACTTTGTGGCTCTTGGGAGAGTGCCGTGGTGTCACAGCTGAATCTCACACTCTTGGGCTCAAGTGATTCTCTTGCTTCAGCCTCCCAAGTAGCTGGGACTACAGGCACTTGCCACAACGCTTGGTTATTTTTAGAGATAATGTCTCATTCTGGCTTAGGCTGGTCTTGAACTCATGAGCTCAGGTAATCCACCTGCCTTGGCCTCCCATAGTGCTAGGATTACAGGCGTGAGCCACCATGCCCTCCCTATTTTAAGAAATTTACAAACAAGGAAGATACAACACTCAGGCTCATTCATATACTCACATATGCTTGAAATACATGCAGTATAAATTGGTGCATAGTTAAGGTATTCACTGGCCATAAACTATTAAGTATTTAGTAGATGAGAGAGGAATTACCTGTCAATCTTTTCAAATTTTTTTATTTTTATTTTTTTGAGACATGGTTGAAAGCTGTCACCCTGGGTAGAGTGCCATAGTGTCACAGCTCACAGCAACCTCATACTCTTTGGCTTAAGCGATTCTCTTACCTCATTCTTCCAAGTATCTGGGACTACAGGCGCCCACAACCACGCCTGGTTATTTTTTTTTGTTGCAGTTGTCATTGTTGTTTAGCTGGCCCAGGCCGGGTTCGAACTTGCCAGCTTTGGTGTATGTGAGCAACCCACTGAGCTACGGGTGCTGCCCCAAATTTCTATTTTACATATTATATTCCCTTTCATAGTGTAATTATTTAATAGTTAACATTAAAACATGGAATGCCCCAAAGGTTGCCATACATACATACATAGGGAAAATGGAAAATTATAGGTAAATGTACCTTTCTTGATAAAATATTCATTATAAAATTTTATAAAATATGAAATAGTTATGTATGTTGATATGTAAATACAAAAATATTAAAAAAACATATAATATTCTGTCCAGTTTCCCAGCTTTGCAGTCAATGAGCTCATCTCTGCTCCTTAAAGTTGGCTAAGAAGGGACCATTATACCAAAGTAATCGCCAAATGGCGAACAACAGGGAATGATTTCTCCCCAGAGAGCTGGTTTAGCCGCACACCACAAAGCTGATGCTTCAAGCACCCATGTGCAGATTCCAAGTGATCATATTTCCAGACAAAGTGCACAGTTACCATTTGATGAAGTTTGAGTCCAGATAGGGAGCTGGGGCATCAGTTTGGACCTATCTTTTGAATCTAATTTTTGCTCATTTATTCAGTTATTGAATCAAAATCCATATTGAGAACTGAAGAGATGGCAAATCAGTCTAGGTGTCCTCAAACTATGGCCTGTGGGCCACATGCGGCCCGCCGGGGACATTTATCTGGCCCGCCGAGTGTTTTTGCCGCCACTGCCTGTCCTGCTTAGCAGCCGAATCCTCCCGGGGCCCACAGTCTGGCCCTCCAATGGTCTGAGGGACAGTGAACTGGCCCCCTGTTTATAAAGTTTGAGGACCCCTGGGGGAAAGGTTGTTAGAAATAAAGAAAAATGTGTCAGATAACAGGAGCAGAGCATGAGGGGCAAGGAAAATTGAATGGAAACCCACCCTGAGGGATGTGCCCTCATGTCACAGGAGCAGGGATGGAGGGAGGGACAGTCAACAGAAGTCAGCAAAGGGAGGGAGGGGAGCACCACAGTCTGGTGGGGCAGAGCCCTCTGCAGACACCTGGACCTTCCCCTGCGCCTGATGGTGTCTCCTTCGCTCAACATTCTCAGCAGACAGTTCCCCAACTTCTGCCCCAGACTTCCTTACAGAAGCCCCTGGGAGCATCTGATTTGTTTCCAAGGCTCTCCCGGTCTGGATGGTCCATTGCTCTCTCTGGCGTTACCTTCTGGATGTACCTTGGTGTCTTCTCTGGCTGTGCTGAGCCTCAAACAGCAGAATCCCAAGGATCACCAGGATCAAGCCAGCTATGCCCACGCGGATGAGATTCTCCATGGTGTGATCCTGGGGGTACAGGGCTAGGGTTTCAGAACAAGAGGTCAGAGAGCTCAGGGCAGACCAAAGTCACCAGGGTCCCTGGTTGTTCCCAAAGGACAACATCCTCCCCTGACAGGAACTGACCCTTTCTGCCCAGCCCCATGACTGACAGTGTGTCTCACTTACCTGTCTCAATGTCTGACTGGTTCTGTGAGGGGCTAGTGGTCTCAGCTGCTCCTGAGCATATGATAAAGAGGGGCAGGGTGAGGAGACCTGAGCTGACACTGTCTGGGTTATCATTTCTTATGTCACCCACTTCCCATGATGTAACTTTGTAGATTCTTAATGAACCCTTTCTCTGCTGCATCAGAGCCCCCTCTGGTCCCATTGTTGGAGTTCCCCAGTCCCAAGGTGTTAATTGTATTCAGGTCCCTTTTTTGTGTCACTGGGGCACACATGTGTCTGTGCTCCAAGACACAGGAATAAATTTCTCTTCAACACAGGTCTAGTTGAGCTCTTGAATGTTCCTTGTTAGTTTTGAGACACAGGACCATGTGAGTTAATACATCTGGGGATGAGAGTCTCCACTTATCAGTAGCTGAAGATCCAGGCCTCGGGGATTTGGGCTTGGATTTCTGGGGCTCTTGAAGGTCAAGACCACAAAGGGTCAATGCCTGAGGCTGCCTCTCCTTCACCCCACCTCAGCCAGATCACCTGGGGTCTCATCGTCTATTTAAGTCTTTGTCAACTAATTTCTCCAATAGTGAGAAACATGTACAATGAGATGCATATGTGTGTGTGTTTGTAAAGTACGCATATATTTTTATATATGTATTTTATATGTATTAGATATATATTTTATATATAACACACTTGCCTGTACATATGTACATATTAATATAAACACACACTTGCAGATCTATTTTCCGAATGGTGATATTGAGTCAGTGGATTATCATGTGTGTTTCTGAATGCCCAGAGTGTGAATGCAGTGAGTGGATCAAGAGCACACTGTAGGCACATACCAGTGAGCAAGGCCAATGAGACAGATGGGACTTTAAGCAGCAGACTGAATATGCTGTGGGTTGAGTCTCTTTGTCCCTTCTAAATCCATATTTAAACTTAACCCCAGTGCAACAGCATTAGCAGGTGGGACCTCGGGAGCTGACTATGTCCTGCACTGTGCCCTTAAAAGGGATTTAGGACCCCTACAAAATGGTTGCAGGGAACCAGCCAGCCTACCTTCCTGCCTTTTTGTCCCTTTTGTCATGTGAGGACACAGAATTTGTCCCCTGCGCTGGACACACCATTCAAAGTACTACCTTGGAAACAGAGACAAGGCCCTCACCAGAGACTGAACCTGATGGTGTCATAATCTTGGGAAAAGTTCCTATTGTTTATCAGTCACCCGTGCTTCAAGTATTTCTATAGCCGCAGGCACAGAATACGACTGTGCACATACACACATCCATGTAAAATGTATCACACAGGTAACACTGTAGGTCTGTGGATGTAGATGTGTGTCCATATAGAGAGAGGGAGACAGACACAGCGACACAGAGAGACCAACAGGAGGGAAGGAGGCAGGTCCATCCTGGACAGTGTCATAGTGAAGGTCTCTCATGGAGATGGCATTTAAAGTGGTCCCTGAGGGAGGGGCAGGGGCCAGAGAGGAGCCAGGTGAAGACGTGTCTCTCCTCATGAGCCGCCCACTCTCACTGTCCCCTCCCTTTCTGTATCTCTTCTCTGTCTCACACATTCAGTGTCTCTGCTCCAGTCCAGGGCTCTCCTTGCCCCATTATCCCCCAGGGGCTCAACTGGTGACCTGTCTTAGGCCCTGAGCCATCCATGGCAAGGATGGGCCCTACTCACCTGAGACCAGGAGCTCCAGGGTGTCGCTGGATTCTGACCACACCAGGGGGATTTTGCTGTTATAGCCATAGCATCTGAATATCCACCTGTGTCCAGGGGTCATAGGGCCCACAGAGAACAGGGCCTGGGGCTGCCCATGGGGGTGTCCATGTAGTCCAAAATGCCAGGAGAGCTTGTGGTTTCCTTCCTGAGTCAGAATGAACATGTCGAATTCCAGCTGTGAGGCACACTGGAGGGTCACTATCCCTCCTGAGGCTACCACAGGGCTCGGAAGGGCTGAAAGGGTGGGTTTACCATAGAGTCCTAGGAGAGAAGGAGGCAGCCATGTGAAAGGGGGCTCACACCTCTCACATCACTCCAGGGCTGGGCTGTGAGGGGAAGACACCCATGAAAGCAGACCCCTTTCCTGAGGACAGAGCTGGGAGCTGGGACCCCTGAGTGTCCTTTTACCTGTTACCACCAGCTCCTGGGGTTCACTGGGCTCTGACCAGCCAGCAGGATTTTGATAGTAACAGCGATATTGCCCTGCATAGTGCACTGTCATATATGGAATGAAAAACTTAGCCTTGTCTCTGGACTCCTGTGTGCTCTGCATATTTGAAGCTATTGGTCTTCTCTCTCTCACCAGATGGTACCCTTGGGCATCCAGGGTCCCCTGACACCAAATGGTCACAGGGCTCCCCAGGATTATCACAGAGTCTGGCTCAGCCCAGAGAGTAGGTTTGAAGAGTTTCCCTGGAAGGAAATCAGAGGCTGTGTCCCAAGACATCCCCACCCCTCTGATCCCAGCTCTGAGCCCAGGACCTCCCAGACATTCCCCTCAGTCAGCCCCGAACTGCTATTCCCCATCCTTAGCTGCCCAGGGGTGTCCTCTTGTCCCCAGTGAGGAGAAGGGACCTGGGGCAGCTGGGGACACACTCACCTGCCTGCACGTGGGTCCTGGGGCTCAGACTCAGCCCTGGAAGAGAGAAATTTGTTTCCTGAAGGCTGAGCATGTAGCCTCCTCCCCAAGAGCCTCCTGAGCCCCTGGGTCTCCCTATAGAGCAGGGCCTGGCTGTGGGATGGTGGGGGTAGGGTAGGTCCCTCCCTCCTAGTCCAGGGTCTCCCCTGTCCCTCCTCACATCTCACCGAGGCAGAGCAGGGCCGTGAGGGTGGGGAGCATGGTGTCTCCTCCTATTAGTCCAGGCTGTGCAAGTGGTGGAGACTACGGTGCCCTCAGGACAGGCAGACATACAGGGTGTGGCCACTCAGAGGCTGAATGCTTCCTATTATGGGGTTGGCACATTTGCAGCTCACAGGAAGGGGAACTGCCCCCCTCCCCAGGAGTTTAGTTCTTATTTCTCCAGGGCAGGATTGGAGTGAGCACCAGGGTCTCTGTAGACATTTCAGATAGAAATGGGGTCTCCCCAACCCACATCCACCACCTGCCTTATTTGTCCTCATCTCACTGAGGACCAGGATGCAGCAGCAAAGAGACCTGGTGGCTCTTCTGTTGGCTCCTTCCAAGTGAGGGTGAGACAGACCTCTCACTCCTCAGGGCTCCCATGGGGTCCCCTCCCTTCTTCAGCCTACCCTTTAGCCCAGCATGGTGGGGTCCCCACCACAGCTAGTCATCCCACCAGCCCTGGAGACGCTTCAGGGAAGGGGCAGCTTCATGTTAGCTGACTCAGACCAGCAGAGATCCATGAACATGTGACACTGTAGCTCACGGTGAGCTGCTGTATGGTCAGGAGCACAAGGTGAACACACAGGAAATAAGGGAAGAAAATATGACTCTTCTTGCCCTGGACTTGGGGTTTTTATTCTACCAATGAGTCCCCTTTGAAGACTTCCCAATTCTTTTTAGCAGCAGCTTCCACCCTCATTTTCCTGGAGACAGCCCTTGATTCATTTCTGCCCACTTGAGACTCTTGTTTCCTTTTTTAGAATTCTCCTCCTCCTGTGGTCCTGCTTTCAAGCTTTAGGGACAACGAGTGGGTTTGCACTACGGTTTCAAGGGGAAAGCTGATCTCTGTTTAAATATCTACTGTCACTGCCATGGGACCTTGAGCATTACCAACCCTCCCCCGGGTACCCACATGCTCATATGCGCATATATGTGCGGACTCAGTGTCCAGTCACAGAATAATCAAAGCCTGTCTTCTCTAAAGGAAGAGGATGAGTGAATCCTTGTGTGTAGGTATATGCTCTTGCCAATTCTGTTTAACATAGTAAACAGAAGTTTACTGGGAGTTCTTGGCAGAGCAATTAGAGTAATTAGGCAAGAAAAAGATGTAGAAAACATTCAAATTGGAGAAGCAGAAGTAATATTGTCTTTGCTTGCTGGCAGCATAATTTTATATATGGAAACTCTAAGACTCAACCAAAAAACTGTTAGAACTAATAAATAAATTTAGTAAAGTTGTAGAATACAGAATTAGTGTAGTGAAATCATCACATTCCTATACACAAACAACAAAATATCCAAAAAATAATCAAGCACAAATTCCATTTAAAATAGTTCCAAACAAATACGTGGAAGTAAATTTAACCAAGGAGGTTAAACTTGGTTAGTACCAATTTTTTTGTGCTGAAAACTATAAAATATTAAAGGAAATTAAGGAATATAGAAATAAATGGAAAGCTGTCTTGTGTTCGTGGATTGGAATAATTTTGTTAAAATATTTATCTTTGCTAAAGCAATTTACAAACTCAATGCCATCCTTATCAAAACTTTAATAACATTCTTTAATGAAAGAAACCAAATCCAAAAATTTGAATGGAACTTCAAAAGACTCTGAATAGCAGCAATAACTTTGAGATAAAAGGAGAAAGCTGGAGACATCAAACAATGTGTTCATAAAATTGCCTACAAAGCCAAAGCTATCAAGACGATATGGAACTGTCATGAAAACAGACAAATGATAAATAGAACATGACAGAAAGCAGAGAAACACACCCAAAGACTTGGGGGTAATTAATGGTTAATTAGTTTTTTAAGTTGCCACACAACTGGGAAAGGGTAAATCCTTCAATAGATGGTGCTGGGAAAACTGACTATTTACGTGCAGATGCAAGAAATTGGATCCTTATAATCCCATATACAAAAATAAACTTAAAATGGATAGGATAAAAACTCCCAGACAACATTGGTCTGTGCAAAATCCAGAATGTTTATTGCAGCCCAATTCATAATTGCTAGGTCGTGGAAGAAGCCCAAGTGCCTATCGACCCACAAATGCATTAATAAATTGTGGTATATATACACCATGGAATACTATGCAGCCCTAAAGAAAGAAAGAGACTTTACCTCCTTCATGTTTACATGGATGGAGCTGGAAAATATTCTTCTTAGCAAAGTATCTCAAGAATGGAAGAAAAAGTATCCAATGTACTCAGCCCTGCTATGAAACTAATTTATAGTGTTCATAGGAAAGCTATAACCCAAATATAGCCCAAGAATATGGGGAAAGAGGATAGGGAGGGGAGGGGGGAGGATGGGTGGAGGGAGGATGATTGGTGGGACCATGCCTATGGTGCATCTTACAAGGGTCCATGTGAATCTTTCTAAATGTAGAATATAAATGTCTTAACACAATAACTATGAAAATGACATGAAGGCTATGTTAACTAGTTTGATGAAAATATTTCACATTGTATATAAAAACAGTACACTGTACCCCATGTCAGTATTAATGTACACAGCTATGATTAATAAAAAAAAGAATATGATTCTGAAAACGTAAGTGACTAATGTAGAAATAGACAAATAGGACAGCATCAAACTATAAAGCTTCTGGAAAACAAGGGAAACAATCTCAGAGTGAAAAGACAATTCATGGACTAGAAGAAAATATTTGCAAAGCATGTATCTAATGGGGGATCATAACCTAAGTATATAAGAAACTCAAACAACTCAAAAACAAGAGGACAAACAACCTCTCTGAAAAATGCGTAAAGGAACTGAATAGACATTTCTCCAAAGACATACGAATAGACAAGCATATGAAAATATATTCAAACAAAAAGCTTTTCTATATCTATTGAAATAATTTAAAAGTTTATTCTATTAATATATTGAATTATACTGATCTATTAAAAACTAAGCCACTTTTGCTTTCCATAAATGAAGACAAAAAATATAGAGTTTGGCAAAATATGTATATGCATGTTAGGAGAGGAAAAAGTGTATTAAAATTGTAATACTCAAGTCTTATTTGACTTCTTGACTTATAAGAGATACAAGATACAGTATACATAATAACAAGTGTTATTGGTATACAATTTTAATAGTTTTTTCCTTTCCTGCCACCTGTATACGTATTTTTGGCACCCTCTGTATATACACATATAAAGATTCACATTTTCTATTTATTCTTATGTCTATTAGGTAAATTATATTTTAGAACATTTTGTCCATTTTATCTGCATTTTCTGGTATATTGGAATAGAGTGGCTTACAATTGTATTGTTATTAGATTTTGAAAATGTCTGTAGGGTCTGTAGTACTGCCCCCTATTTCTTTTCCATATGGAAATGTGTGTCTGCTTTCTTGTCCTTGCTCACTGTGGCTAGCTAGGATGTATAAATGTCATAAATGTTTTTAAGAATAGACTTTTTTGGCTTTCCTGAATTTTCCATTGAAGTGGGGTTTTGCTATATATCCTAGGCTGGTCCCAAACTACTGGGCTCAAATGGTCCTCCTTTGTCAGCTTCCAGTCTCTGGGATCACTGACATGAGTTACAGAGCTTGGCTCCTGCATTTTCTGTTTGTCCCCATTAGAAGCTCCTCTTATCATTGTTAATTCCTTCTTTATACCTTCATTTGGAATTCTTGATATAATAGCTGAGGTAATTAATTTTTAGATTTTTTTCTTTTGTAATTTAATCATTCATGGTTCTTGTTTTCCAATTTTACATATTAATATGTAATATTTATATTATCAGTCAATTGAAAACATTCCCTTTTTTATGAAATCATAACTGTGTACATTAATGCATTTATGTAGTACAATGTGCTAAACATTCACTTTTATTTTTATATTCTTATTTAACTCATTGATTATTGAGAAATCTATTGCTTTATTTCCAAAATGTAGATCTGAGTATTAAGGAACTCCAATGCAGAATCAGATGAGTCCCAAAAGTTCCCTGGACCCCCTGGTGGTCTTTGTTAGGGATCTAGGCTGGAGTTCACTAGTTCATGTCCACTGGGGCAGCTCCTAGACCTTCCCTGTCTCTGTGCAGTGTGTGGGGTCTGGGTCCCTCCTGAGCTAGTGGATGGCCAGAGCAGCGTACATGCTGGGCTCCTTGACAGCATCTTCCGGGGACAAAGGAAGTTTAAGTATTTCCCATCTGAGATCAAGCTGTGCATCTGGGCATAGGTCACATCTGGGGGGTCTTCAGATGTAGCAGCCTGCAGTGGGGGGGGAGAATAAGATGGAAGGAGCATGGTTGAGGAGGGGAGAGTCCTGGGGGCCCAGGGAAGAAAGACTCACCTGACTGTCCACCTGCCTGTCCCCTTCCACCTGTCTGTCCTGCATGTCCAGGAATTCCCTGGATAGTGGGGAGGTCACTACCTATCCCAATCTGGAGTGGTTCACCTGGACATAGGTCACTCCTTGGGGATCTTTGTCATGTGGGCTCTGTTGGGGAGAGAGTGATAGGGTCTCCTTGATGCCACTTGACCTTCCTTAGTGAAGTTTCCACACTGTTCCCAGAATGACTGATTTTGTTACTTTCCTGATGAAATTTCCAGGGACTTCCTAAGGCCTTGGAAGGCCTGGCTGCTTCCTTCCTGCAGTTCTGACCTCTTGTTCCCACACCCTGACTCTGTGCATTTGGCTCCAAGTCCAGGTTCATCTTCCTGCCAAAGCTGCTGACTCAGGACCTTTGCACTTGCTGTTTCCTGTGTTGCAGGTGCTTGTGCACTGGGTATCCCTGTGATCCTCTCCTTTCAGACTCCTTCTCAGAGGACTGATCAGACAGCCCTCCCCTCCTAACCCAGATGGACTCCACTCCCCATAAACTCTGCTCTTTTCTCCCTTTATTTCCCTAATGGTGCTTTGTACTCAGGACACCATGCATGTATGTGCCTGTTGTGTCTTGCTCAGGTGAGCACAGGGAGGGTAGGGCATCTGTGTTCTCTGCTGTGTCTGCAGTGCCCCCAGCCGGATCAAGACTGAGCTCCCAGGGAACACTGCGAGGTGAAGGAATAAAGGAGAGCAGGGGACTCGGGTGCTTCAGTGATTCATGCAGCCTCTGAGCCCTGGGTGAGCTCTGACCTCAGATCTCAGACAGGGTGGGGAGGTGAAAAGGAGGAGCTCACAGGTGACAGAAAACCAGAGGGTATGAGGTCACAGCAGGCAGGGAAAGGAGTCCACTGTGGGACAATGCTGAGGGTGGAGGGAAGGGAGGACAGGGGGTGTCCTCTGGATTAAATGTGGCAACAAGAGACCTTTGGTGCCCTGGACAGGGACAAGGGTCTCACCTGACTGTCCAGTTCCACCCTATCCTCAGGCTGAGTGTCCTTCAGGGTAACATCTGCTGGGGGCAGAATGAGGGTTTGTCTTCTGGCAGGATATCTTGGGACCTCTCAGTCCCACCATGGGATCCAGGGAGCAGCTATGATGTCCCCAAGGCTTCAGACCATCATCTCCTGAGCACAGAGCCTCCTCAGCCTGCTTCTCCCCCATTGCTACTGAAACTTTGGGGCCCCATCTCCCTCCAGAGCTCCCTTCCTCTCACAGAGGTTTTCTTACTGGACTTTTGCAGCTGGGCTGAACCTGGGGGAAGACACAGAGGGTGAGGGGCAGTGAGGGAGCCGCAGGTGGGTACAGTCTGAGGTCTTTGGGGAGAATTACCTCTGCTTCAGACTTCTGTCCTTGGGTGCCAGCTCCACAGTCCCCATAGGTCATAGGGGATCAGTCTCTTTCTGGGTTGGGAGGGGACGGACAGAGTCTCAGCCCTACAGGTTTAGAAGACCCTGCCCTACCCCAAAGTTCAAGGGGCAGGGGACACCTGGGGACGCCCCTGCATGGACACTACACACACTGCTGGACCCTGATCAGCTCAGCAGGTGCTTAAACCTGGGCATGTGAGCCTCTGTCCGTGCTTTCCAGAGGGTCCTGGGTGGCAACGCTGGAGCAGCTTTTGTACACTGACCCTCCACGTGTGTTTGTCTGTCTCCCTGTGGCTGGTGCCTAAGCCCACCTCAGGTCCCTGTTCCCTACTCACCCAGGATCCTGTGTTTGCCCTGACCCCTGTGTTGGAGAAAGAGGAAGAGGGCGAGGAGGAGCAGCAGGATGAAGGCTACTGACACTCCGATCAGAACCTCCAGGGACCTGTCCAGCCTTGGGCCCAAGTGACTTTAGGAGTGAGGAATGACATCATTAACACAGCACCTACTGTATTCAGACATGTGTCAGGACTTTACATCACCATCTCCATCCCTCACCCGTTGTGCAGCATGGGACTTCCTTCATTTTACGGAGGAGGAAACTGAGGCCCAGAGAGGTGACTCACCTGCCCCAGTGTACCCAGCCAGGAGGCGGCATACCTGGGAAGCGATTCCAGAGCTGACCCTGAGATGAAGGGACAGAGCCTGCACACCCTGCACTGTGGCCCTCCTCTCCATCCTGCATAGGCCCACTGTCATGGTAGCAGGTAGGACAGGCCACTGCAGGACTAGGTCCTGGAGGCTTGTTTGGGGCCTCCTCTCCCAGGAGGTCACAGCAGGAGCCAGACTTGGAGGGAGCTTTGCCCTCTGGGCCAGGTGTCTCCCCTTCACACCTAGAGAAACTGAGGCCACACTGGGGAAGGGCTTGTCCATGTCCTTGTCCCCAGAAGAGCCTGAACTGAGGCACAACTCAGTCCTGCCTCCCCATCCCCCCCCAGCTCAGAGTCCCTTACTGGCCACTCTGGGGCCTGACCCTCTGGGATGAGGTGTGATCCTCAGGTCTTCTGGGTCAGGACAGGGAGCTGAGGGGCTGGGGTTATCTACTCCCCACTGCAGCCGGCTTCTTCACCAGGCTGGGCTCTACCTCTCTCCTGCCTAGACCCACACCCCTCACCAGACTCTGGGACCTGGGGTTCCCCTGAATTTCTGCCCAGCCCCCTGGACATAGCCCACCCTTGGGCATTTGAGGGGAGGGAGATCCCAAGAGACTCAGAACTGCCCTGGGAGAGGCCTGGCTCCCTCTGAGACAAGATATCGTAGTGACCTAGGAAGTACTGAGGTTGCTCCTGTAGCTGTGGGGCTGGGTTGCATAGAGGGTCCTGGAAATAAGGGCAAGAGGATGGTGAGGTGCCAAGGTTTCCCTGAGGGATGAAGAGGAGGAGGGTTGTGCATTTCCTGAGTTGAGACACCCCTGGGACTCACCAGCTATTGAGGTTGGCTCTGTGGGTGGGGGCTGGGGTGCACAGAGGGTACTGAGAATGAGTACAGGGAGAGGGGAAGGGGTGCTGCTACCTGTGGAGCCTGCACCCTCACTCAGACTCTCCTCCTACTGGCCTCCTCAAGACCCTCACTCCACCCACCTTTGTCTTCAGGATGCAGGTGATGATGGAGAGGGTGGGGCACCTGAGAGGCCCCTGTTGGCCTCTGCCTTTCTGAGGGGTAAGTCCTGTGGATAACACTTTTTCAGATCCCCTCACCCCATCCCAGCCCAGAGCTCTCCAGAGACAGAGTGAATTTGTCATAGCCATCATCACAGTGACACCAGAGGGTAAGGTTCTGTCCAGGTGCCAGGATGGGGCCTTGCAGGGTGAGGAGGGATGGCTGCCTGGACAAACTGGGGGGGGGAAGGACTGACTGTGGGCTGCAGGGTCTCGTTCCTGCCAACTCCTCAGTGTCCTGTCCTGGCCCTGTCAGTCTCACTGTCTCTCACACTCAGGATCTCTGGACCTGGGAGCCCTTGCTCCCTCACCCCATCCTCCCACCTTGAGCTCCCTTGGAAGTAAGTTTCACAGTGATATTTTGGGGGTCATAAAATGAACAGGGTAGGATGAAACTTCCTTACTTGAGACCAGGAACTCCAGGGGGTCACTGGGTTCCGAACACACCTGAGGGGTGTTTCTGTGATAGCCGTAGCATCTGGCCAGGGGTCATAAGGCCCACAGAGAAAAGGGCCTGGGACTGCAGATAGAAGGGAGGCTGTGAGTCCACTGTCCAGGAGAGCTTTTGATGTCCTTCCTTAGTCAGAATGAACTTGTCAAATTTCTGCCATAAGCCACACTGGTGGGTCACATTCCCCCCTGAGGTCACCACAGGGCTTGATAGGGCTTAGAGGGTGGATTTGTTGTAGACTCCTAGGAGAGAAGTAGGCAGACATGCTCAATGGGGCTCACACCTCCTGCATCACGCCAGGCAGGGCTATGAGAGGGAGACACCCCTGAGAGTAGACCCCTTCATGAGGGTAGAGCCTAGGGCTGGGATCCCCAAGGGTCCTCTCACCTGTCACCACTACTTCTACGGTGTCACTGGGCTCTGACCAGCCAGCAGAGCTATACTAGTGACAGTGATATTGCCCTGCATGGTGTTCTGTCATGGATGAGATGCTGAACTTGGCCTGTTCCCAGGTTCCAGTGGTTTCTCTCTGTACTAGAAGCTTTGCCCTATATACATATCGTACTCCTGGGCATCTAGGGTCACTACATGGTCACACGGATCCCCCAGGTGATCATAGAGTCTGGCTTAGTCCAGAGGTTGGTTTGGGGAGGTTCCCTGGAAGGAAATCAGAGTGGGTCCCAAGGCATCCCTCCCTCAGATCCCAGCTCTCAGCCCAGGAACCTCCTGATGTCCCCACACTCAGCCCAGAGATGCTGTTCCCTATCCTGAGCTGCCCTGTCATCTCCCCTTGTTCCTAGCGAGGAGGAGGGAGGTGGGACCTCTGGGGACACACTTACCTGCCTGTGTGCAGTTTCTGGGGCCCTGTGAGAAATTTGTTGAGTCTGAGTATGTTCCCTCCTCCTCAGGAGCCTTCTGAGCCCCCAGGGTCTCGAGATAGAGAGAGCAGGCCTGGCTGTGGGGGTGTGGGTGTCTCTCTGATCAGGTCCTCCTCTGCCCTCCTCACATCTCGCCAAGGCAGAGCAGGGCCGTGAGGGTGGGGGTCATGGTTGTGCAGATGGAGGAGACCACAGTGTCCGCAGGACAGACAGATACAGAAGGTGTGGCCACTCACAGGCTGGCTCCTTTTCCTCATGAGTTGTCACATCAGCTGCTCTACAGGGAGAGAAAGTTTCTAAGAGCTTGACTCGGGTTCCCCCAGGGCTTCCATGTGCACCAGGCTTTCTGAAGATATTTCAGACAGAAATGTGTTCTCCTTAGATCTTCAACTGCTGTCTTTCTGGTCTTAACTCCTTCCTGCACAAGCACCGACTCCTGTTTATGGAGTTGTGCCATGGGCCTGGCCATGGAAATACATTTCTGACCAAATAGAGTGAAACCCTGAATTTGCAGAGATTATCATAATTCTCAGATTATCATAAGCAGATCTCCAACGTGGTGGCTTCCTACTGCGGGGCTAAGAAATCACTACAAGCTTCGGGGCTTAAGTCAACACAGATTTATTATCTTGCAGTTCTGGGCGCCAGAGTCTGACATGCATCCTTCTGGGCTGCATCATGTTATCTTCACCCTCTGTCTGTTTCTCAACAATGAAACTCATAGGAAGAAAGCAGCTATTTTCTAACATGTCACATTGGTCTAAGATAAGGGGCCTGGCTTCTTCTTTTCAGAAAACCGCTTCTGCTGTCCTAAGCCCGAGTTCTGTGTTGCAGACGTTTCCCAAATGCGCCGTGGAGGAACAGCGCCCGGGGCTGGCTCTAAGGCGGAGGGTCAGAGCATGATGGTCTCTGTCTAAGGTGCTGCCTCTGGCCTCGCCCCAGGGGTCTGTGCTTATGTCCCTGTCCTCCGAGGTCATAGAATCCTGTTAAAAGGGAAGCATGAAGGGTATGCCTTCATACCAGGGTATGAAGGTGTCTTTTCTCACAGCTGTTGGTCACAGCTAGTGCTGGAGATGCCGAAGGACGGATAGAGAAGAAGGGGCTCTGCCGAGGAAGAAGCGGTGAGAGGATTCAAGGGAAGAGGTTTGTCCAGGGACACCTTCTGACTGGGTGATTAGGTACAGGCTATGCGTTTGTGAGTGGAACAGTACTCAAGTGACACTGTCCTCTTACTGGTGATTCTTTTTTTTTTTTTTTAATTTTAAATTAATATGAGGGTTACACTGTTCCCACTTCTGAGGTAAAATTCAAGTCGTAGTTGAGCCCTTCACCGAGGGGGCATGCTGAACACCCTCACATTGTGCACATTAGGTGGGATCCCTCCTATTGCTCTCCCTCCTGCCCTCACCCCTCTCCCACCTCTCCCCTCTCCCTCACAACTATATTTGTGTTTTACTGTTCGTGTGGCTGTGCAATTGTTATTATATTGGTTTTATATTAGTCCTGAGTGATTCTTACTTTGATAGCTTGGTAAACTCGGCATCGACCAGGTTTCTCCACAGGAAAGCTGTCATTTATCCTTTGTAATTCATAATCGATTTCTAGGGAGTTACAAAATTGTACAAAGAGGTGGGCAACATGTAGAAAAGATTTTGTAAAATTTTCTAGCAAATATTTTATAAATAAAGGTACATGTAGCTACCATCTCTTGTTTTTCCTATGTATAGTGACTTTATGGGTGACCTTTGGGACACCCTGTAGGATTGATGAAGTAGAAGGAGTATGTCAGAGCTTGAATACAGATCTTTCCGATTAACTCAGTCAGACAAAACTAAAGAATAAAACACAATGAATGAAGCCTTGGAAAATCCAGGATTATGGAAGCAACCAAACTTATGAGTTATGGGTATTCCTGAGGGAGGAGAAGAAAAGGCAAAAAACTTGGAAAATCCACTTGAGGGAATCACTTTGGAAAACACCCTTGGCCTTGCTAAAAATTCCAGACATAAGAATCTCAGAGGCAACCTGAGTGATACTCTTTGTAAGATGAACCTCACCAAGGCATATAATCATCAGAGTAGCCAAAGTCAGCATAAAGGAAGAACTCCTAAAATAAGTGAGAGAGCCGTGAAGGCTATGCTAACCAGTTAGATGAAAACAGTTCAAATTGTGTATAAAACCAGCACATTGTACCCCATGATTGCATTAATGTACACGGCTATGATTTAATTTAAAAAAAAAAAAAGAAGTGAGAGAGAAACATTTAGTCACTTATAGAGGAAATCTCACTTAAATGCTTGTGAAATATGACCCATCCTTTGTGTTTCTTTCTTCAATAATAATCCGATGCGAAATTGGTTAGATGTAAGCATTCCACATTGTATATCAAATCAGCACATTGTACCCCATAAATTCATTAATGTCCAGTTATGATTTTAAAAAGAATAAAAATTTGAGAGGGAAAAAAATAATCTGATGCTTCTGGGCTGTCTTATTTTCTCATGATTCTTGAATCAGCATCTGGTTTTCTTCAGTACAATTTTTTTTTTCTCTTTATTTATTTATTTTTAAAATTATTATTATTATTATTATTATTTTCAGTTTTTGGCTGGGGCTGGGTTTGAACCCACCATACGGGTTCTGAAATATGGGGCTGGTGCCCTACTTTGACCCACAGGCGCGGCCCATTTTATTTCTCTTTTTTTAGTTTGTTCCTTTCACTTAACAGCTTGCCCTGAAATTTCCCCCTGTCAAGATCACTTCCTTACTGTCCTTTACAGTTCATTTTGAGTATAAACCTAAGTTTATTTAGGCTTGTCTAGTATGTTTGAACATTTTTGTGCACTCTTTCTTTTTTTTTTTTTATTAAATGATAGCTGTATACATTAATGCAAACGTGGGGTACAGTGTAGTGTTTTCATATACATGTTTTTCCTTTTTTTATTAAATGATAGCTGTACACATTAATGAAAACATGAGGTACAGTGTAGTGTTTTCATAT